ATAAAGGGGTTTACCGCGTACAATAGTAATTATTACATGATTGCTGATAGACAGTTTTACCATTACTATTCCCGATATGGATTTTGCTCCGCGTGTGGATTACTCCGATGTAGTCCGGTGTGGTGCATCTGTGGACATAAAGAATTATCCGATGAATGGACTAGCAGCAATAAGCAACTCGATGAGTTTATCAAGAAGACTCAGTCACAAACAAGCTCAGCGAATGACGCCTATCTCGAATGGATTCCATTCGATTGTATTTATATAGGGGCATATGATGAAAACCGACACTTGCGTGGTGGTCTACCTACTGATCATTTTGTACTTGTTAAATTGATTCCACTTGAGATAACAGACGAGACGCATGATTTATATTATGCCGAGGTAAACTATTCGTTTATGCGCCATGTTTGTTATTATTAAATAATTATTGACTTATCATTATGTATCGTTTCCACTAGTTATGTGATGAGCATCCTGATATTCTTACCAGGGATGTTTGGGTTACCATCGGATTCACATACGATGAATATGAACAAAAGTACTGGCTAATAAAAGAAGAAGGAGGGCATGGATTATGTCTGACGTGTACATCTACGCATAACAGTCATATAACTACATTCTGTTATCATTGTAAAGCACCACGACCTTTTGACTGGACTACGGGTAACAAGATGTTGGATTCATTCATTATGGAATCGTGGAGTAATATGACAGGAGCAAATGATGCGTATATACAATGGATAGAGTATTCTACATTAATGAATGTACGAGAAATGGCCTCATTACGCCATGGATGCACACGCATAACGGATTGGTTAGATCCAGTGACAAATAAATTGATAAAAGTGACACTCAAGCAGATCGATGATGCCCAGTCGCTTGATTATGATTTTCATCAGGTAAATTATTTCATGTGTAAAAATAATGCAATATTTAGCATTGATCATTTTATTGATGGTATTGCTTACCCAAATAGCTAATCCTGGAATACCCAAAGATATTAACTTTTGAAAATATTTGGATAGTTGGAATTACTCAGGAACCGTCCACTCGGGGATATTATTTAGTTTTCTACTATGATGTACGTGCAATACTGGACAGATTTATGCAATTTTACACTCATGAAAGTTCTCGTTTTGAGTACATGCAGTACAGCGATTTTTACGAACTCAAAGAGATCGGGTCTGGCGGCTATGGAACAGTTTATACTGCAAAATATAAAAAGTGCAGTTATAGGATACCAGAGACTGTTGTGTTAAAACGATATAATAAGAAGAATTTGGATCAGACTTCGGAATTATTTGTTTCAGAGGTAAGCAATAATTGATAGTATTAATTAAAGTGATATTTAATTTGACCGCTGTACATTTATTATTGATATTTAATAGTTTAGAAATCATGCCAGATGCACAAGCATTGAGTTCCTTTCCCTTTATGGAGTGACGCAAGACCCAGAAACGCACGAATACATGATTGTTATGCTATATGCTAACAAGGGTAGTCTTTTGTCTTATTTGAATCAAAGTATTAACGCCTTGACATGGATGGATAAATTACGGCATTTGGGGGACATTGCACATTATCTATGTTTGATTCATCATGCGGGATTGGTGCACTGTGATCTACATGGTGGAAACATAGTTATTTGTGACAATACGAGTTATACAAAATCATATGTATGCGATCTTGGTCTTTCACGATCGGTGAATTCACACGAGTCCAACTCAACCATTCAAGGTGTTTTACCCTATATTGCACCGGAAGTTTTCCATACTTACAAATTTACTCAGAAATCAGATGTGTATTCCTTTGGTATCATTATGTATTTGATTGCTACTGGCGAACCACCGTTTAGAGATAAGCAGTTTGATAGAAGTTTAGTATGCGATATTATGGGCGGACTACGACCATCGATGCCTGATTCCGCACCAGAGGAGTACAAGAAACTTGCCGAGAGATGTTGTGATGCTGATCCTGATAAGCGTCCAAGTGCAAATACAGTTTGGTGTGATATTGGCGGTCTTATTAATAATTCGAAAGACAACGCATGGAACACCGTTTATCATAATGATGTAAAACCCTTGTCACGTTCCGAAAAGGAGAGTAAATACTCTAGTACACTCTTGCCTACCGGAGATCTGCCTAATCCAAGAAATAGTTGTGAGATGTCAGTTGAGTTTCAGGTATGAAAGCAACTATTGTATTGGTTACAAAGTAGAGTTGTTTATGATATTAACAATGTCAATTGTCTTATTATTTAGTGACTCAAAATTTTGAATAAACATGCAATTTGCGGCAGCCAGTTTATTTCTGTATGATATATTCCATACAGGACGAAATTTTGAATTTAAATTTACTAGTACTAGCTATTATTAAAGTAACTATCCGGAAGAATGCAGGTCTTATCATTTATGCAGAGGTCTCGCAACAAACAGAAATAGGAAATTTTTGGTGTTTACCCTTATATCGAGAGAAGCTTTCTTATAAAATTCCGCCACAACTTTCTTAGATCTAATATCGAGAGATTTATAATAAACTTTCTTATATAGGGAAAATTTTTCATAATAAAAATCGTACCTTTCTTATATCGAGAGCCACTTGTACTGAACCCAAATAATAAGTATAACTTTTCGCATATACTGATTGGCTTGATTCTTCGAAACGCGCAAAATCGATTTTTATTGCCAATCACTAACGACTAAAAATCCTATGCTTATTATTATGGTATTTACGTATTACAGTAGCATCGGTGTGCGCAAAAAATTGACACCAGATATTAGATAAACGTGACCTGAAAACTTGCATGCTTGATTACTTGCGAAATCAATTTGTTTCAATCGCTAACAACACAACAACCAAGCATATGCTTATGGTATCTACACACAGAAGACGTTCGCTAATTGATTTATTTGAAACATACAACTTTCTTTTGATATTATACTCACCGTACGATGACATACAACAATTGCGTCTTACCATTGTTTATATAAGTTTCCTCCTTTTTACGCTCACATAATACTAGAAAAACGAAATTAAGTTTTAGATTTTTGCCCGTAAGGACATTGGATGCGTATGAGGATAAACTGTATGTCAAATCACACAATGTCGATTTTATATACCTTGTATGCAGCTTTGCCTTCATATTTCTCGCTCGGCATGTCAGAAGTCAACCATATGAATTATTATCAGAATTACGACTACTCGCAACCTGCGAAACGCAATAAATTGGGCACACGCCTTCCGCTGATCACAATAAAATGACTATACGCTAATTCGACAGAATATGTTGAAATACAAATATGAGTAATTGATTTGTTAGGCAACAGGAAAATGCATGTTTTAGTGATGTGAGTAAATATAAATAGTGATTATATGGTAATGTAATGCTATCCAGGTAATATAAAGTCTATATAGTAATAGTAGTGAAAAATATAAAAATTAGTGTAGAAGTATATAACTTATTTAAATTTAAATATTATTTTTAATCTTCAAAAGATGGAAGAGTTAAATTGGTTAAAGCCAAGTCAGAAAAACTTTTTATTCACGTTTGAGAGCGTAATTCCTCTTTTACTAACTGGCTTTGTCTCTTTGATATTTGAGAGGCTGGCTGACAGTATCAATACTCCATAACAAATAAATGCACATTGCATATTTCCACAACAAACAATATAAATTTGATGAGGGCAAAGTTTCTCAAAATTATATTCTAGTTTATTATTTGAAATGGTAAATTAGTTAATTTGGTTAATTTAAACCGCATTAGTATCGTAATCGCGTCATTGGCAATTCTCCATCCGTGACAATTTTAAACACTTAAATAAATTTTGCAGTGTAAGAATTATTAATACTAATGGTTTATAGGCTTGATAATTTGAATGCACTTTACAGATGCTATTTAATGATGGAATATTGCTCATGATTTATAGATCAAATTTTCTTATTTATTGGTTTTGACATGCCATTCACTTACTACATGATTGCATCATTATTCAAAAAAATGCTTCAATATTGGCCATGATGGACTTCATCAATTTGAATTTAAACAATGGATACTCATTTGAATTGTATAATAAATTTATCTCAAACAGCATATTTCTAAATATTGTTCATTCTATGTAATGTAGCAACATTTGCAGCATCAGCTTTTTGAATTCTTTTGAAGGCTAATATATACATGTAATCTAACACAAGTCATTCTTATTATTATTTGGCAAGTTTTCTCATGATAATGAATCTAGATGGTGGTTACTTATCTTATAGATTGCATTAAAAAACAACTATTTGACATTTGTGTTAATATACCAAAGTAAATAGAACCCTAATACTAAAGAAGTGCAATGTAACATGACTGTGATGTAATGAATTCTGAAATTTGTCAGATAAAATTACTTGAGGTAATTATTACCAACTGATCTTGGTACTTGTTTTGCAATAGAATCCAGTCACTCTCATATATTCCTGTATTTTCAAATTTAAGTTGACGCAATTTTGGCAAGTCAGCCTCAATGATGGATTTCAATCCTCCTTCCAATATCCAACTTTGCTTTATGCAGATGCTTGCCAATTGATGAAACTTAATCAGCTTAATGTCCAAATCATCTTGATAGAAACGACAGTCTTCCAAAACAATTGATTGCAGAGAATTTGACTGTGACTCCAACAGTTTAAATAGTGAACTCATATTGGTTATAACAATTTTTACAGTGATTGTCTTTAGTTGATGTTGAGACTGTATGAGATTTTGCAATCCATAATGTGGTACTTGTTCAGCAAAGTTATAGCCACCAGGACCTTTAACTGAAAGTGATTTTAGATTATGTGCTGCCCTGGAAAGTGTGCTGAATACACTATTGTCTAAAATTAATGACAAACTTAAATTTTGCAAGCAAGGAAGAGTCCATTTTTCATCTATATGAAAATCTGCCCTGTACGGAGAATGAGACGTGAGAGAAAGAGTTGTGAGATTTGGGCAATATGCAACTGCCAAATGAGCAATCATGGCTTGTATATCGGTCGAATTGAATTTTGTGTACCATCCCAAAACTTGGATCTCTTTGAAACGAAACTCTTCCAAGTAGAAACTATAATCGAGCGGAAACTTTTTATTATTTTTTTTGCGCAATTGTGGTGAATGTGTGAGAGAATCAACATCGGTAAAACATTCAATGAATGTCGTTATAAGATTTTCTATTGATTGAACGTGTCCAGCCTTCTGGCTGGAAAGCAACAAAGTGAAAGGTCTAGCCCACAAGTATTGAAGGGCTACTATACACCAGTTTCTATTAACTAATATGCAAGAATGAAGCGTAAAGAGATCATCTTCATGTTCGTCAAAAATTATTTTAAAAAGTTCTTTGGGTAAGGAAGGAGCCATATTTCAAACGAAAGAACAATCGTTGGCAATGGCGTAAATTGTGTCCCTGCATTCTACGCAGTAAATTTAACCAATAGATTGGCTGCATTTACCAACAATAGTAAAGCTCAACGCTTAAACTAACTATTTCAGCGATATACTATACCGGAAGCTACGTAGACTCATTAAGTAAATTTCGATCTTGAAATGTCGTGAATTGTTGCCTCAAAAACAGAGGTAATCTTGCTTCATTATCGAGGGAGAGCAATTGATCGCCAACTTTCGGGTTCCGACAAAGCCGCGGCCTTTTCTATTTGGTTCACAGTTCGTAATTTTTATTACTACGGTGTCGATATACTAATCTAATTCTAAATGGTGGTTATTTGCCCTCGACTTAGTCGGTTATTTCTTTCCGATTGGGATTTATTCGGCAATTCGAAATAATAAGCGACTAAGAAACGCAACGTAAACAAATATTTCTCACATATGCTGAATATTTTACCAGAGAACAAATTATGACAAGCACAGTATTTTAGGATATAAAAAATTACTTGTCTATTAAAAAAAAAAGAGCATGCCCGTTTTATCGGAAAATTGCACTTTGTATATACCTACTGAACCGCTTTTTGCTCAAGACAATCAATTATATAAATGTGAAAAGACAAAAACTGCATTACAATCATTTCATTATTGATCAGTTCTGAACAACACAATTTTGTTCAGGAATAAAACACAAACAAGGCTTTTGAGTAATGTCTGCATGTCAAAGAAACAAAAATTCAAAAACGGTCGATCTTGATTTGAAGGTTTACCTAACTTCCGTAAGCTAACTTAACCTGATCTTCAAAAAGAGACATTAATTTAGCAACAACTACGTCAAAATAGAAATATTAGTAGAACACCAACTAGAAATAATTCTTGGTCGAAGAATGTAAAAATTGACGCATCTAATTAGTACTGTTTGCAGTCGTTCTTAATGCATAAACCCAATTAATTTACTATTGACAATGTCGGCTTTAGTTAGCGTCATTAATATTCTAATTCTAACAAGAAACGTAATTGTGCAATTATGAATTACTATTCTTGTTATTAGTTTTGGACGCATCGATATTATCCTTTCCCCATCACCCAAGCCGGTGGTATTATCGATCATTTTCCAGTAATCTTTTCGGCAAAATAACTACTACTAAATAGTTTACTAAATTTATTGCATTCGCATCGTTTGCATTCGGTGTCTACTCATTTTGATTAAATAAAAGTTATAGTAATAGAGCGTAAAATGCGCGTAAATTAACAATCAAACTCTGGGATAATAACGTGTGTTTGATTCTAGCAATTGATTGGTTTAATAAAATTGTATTAAATAATGCCAGATTAAAGTAAATCGTATTAAAGCGCGGACAATATTCAGAGCAAAAATTAACAACAATTAAATATATCAACATAGTACATTTTGTTGTTAATTGTCGATAGAGTTCTAATACAGCAGTAAGTATACATAATTAATTAAACCCGACTATTGACGGTTAACAAAAATAGTCATGCTTACAGTTCTAATCCATACACTTATAATTTCCTTCACTTTTCCCCTGTCGTTAATAACACAACATGAAACTACTTTGAACTATCAACATTTGCGCAATAAAATAAACAAGCGTGCGTTATTTATAGAAACAATGACACTATTTTAACTATTCATTGCAATCACATTATTATTATTGATGCTTGAAAATTTCCTTAACCTTTTCTCTCATGCTCAATGCATACGAGTCATCGGGTTCAATCTCCAATGACGTGTTGAAATCGGTCAACGCACTATCATATTCTCCGAGATTGAAATACACATCACCTCGTATTTTCAATGCACATGCATTATGCGGCTTTATCGCTAATGATCTGTCGAGATCATTTAATGCATCGCCGTATTGTTTTAGACCGAGATAGACGTTTCCCCTCACGGTCAACGCATCGACATAATCAGGATAAATTTCCAACGATTTATTTAAATCAATCAATGCGGCATCATACTGTTTGAGCATGCAATATGTCTCGCCTCGGTTCTTTAATGCATAGTCATAATTCGGTGCAATCTCTAATGATTTGTTGAGATCTCTCAATGACTCGTCGTACCGTCCAAGATTACAATAAACAAGTCCCCGTACACTCAACGCATAAGCATCATTTGGTTCAGTTGCTAACACTTTGTTGACATCGCGTAACGCACGATCGTATTCTTTGAAATCATTATAGAGATCTCCTCTTACGGACAATGCAATCACATGGTTTTGCTCTACTTTCAATGCTTTGTTAATATCATCCATCGCGTTCTCATATTCTTCAAGAATAACATAGGTGTTAGCCCGCATACCCAATACCCATGCATTGTTTGGTTCGATCTCCAATAACTTGTTAAAATCTTTCAGTGAACTGTCATATTGTCTCAAATATTTATAAACGATTCCCCGCACTCTCAACGCCCATGGATCATTTGGGTCAATGTCCAACGACTTGGTAAGATCGTTCAATGAATTACCATACTGTCCTAGATCATGATAGACAGCACCTCTTGTACTTAATGCCCATGCATCCTTTGGCTCGATGTCCAACGATTTGTTGAGATCGTTCAGCGCATTGTCGTACCGTCCCATATCAAGATAGACAGCTCCCCGCTCTCTCAACATCCATGCGTTGTTCGGTTCAATCTCCAACGCTCTGTTAAGGTCATTCAGTGAATACTCGTATTCTCCTAGACACCGACAGGTAGATCCCCTTCTACTCAACGCCCACGCATCATTCGGCTCAATGTCCAGCGATTCATGAAGAATACTCAGTGAATTGGCGAATAGTCCAAGATGTCGATAGACAGCTCCACTTCTACTCAACGCCCATGCATCGTGCGGCTCGATCTCCAACAAGCTGTCAAGATCGTTCAGTGAATTGTCGTATTGTTCTAGATCAAGGTAGATAGCTGCCCGTTCTCTCAACGCCCATACATCATTTGGCTCGATATCCAACGATTTGTCAAGATCGTTTAGTGAATTATCATATTGTCCTAGATCAAGATAAACAGCTCCCCGTTCTCTCAACGCCCATGCATCATCAGGTTCGATGTCCAACGATCTGTTAAGATCAATCAGTGAATCGTCGTATTGTCCTATACATCGATAGACAGCTCCCCTTCTGCTCAGCGTCCATGCATCATTCGGCTCGATATCCAACGATTTGTCAAGATCGTTTAGTGATTTGTCGAATTGTCCTAGATCAAGATAGACGTTTCCTCTTCTACTCAAAGCCCATGCATGATTGGGTTCAATCTCCAACGATTTGTCAAAATCATTCAATGCATCATTGTATTGTTTCAGATCGAGATAAAGATTCCCTCTTCTACGCAAAGTCCATGCATTACTCGGTTCGATCAGCAGCGACTTGTTAAAATCGTTTAGCGCGTGGTGGTACCGTTTTAGAACCGATAAGATCAGACCTCTATTTTGTAACGTCTGTGCATTATCCGGTTCAATCTCCAATGATTTGTTAAAATCGTTCATTGACTTGCCATACTGCCTTAGATTTAGATAGACACATCCTCTTGCGCTCCATAGCCAAGCATTGTTCGGCTCGATCTCCAACAATCTGTTAAAGTCGTTTATTTCGTCACAATATTTTAATGTTTTGTAAACTTTTTCACAATCTGGCCGCTTATTGGGGTCTTCATCCCAACATTCTAAGTAAAGATAAAGATATTCCCTGGGTGTTCCAGGAAAGTGAGCATCACGAGAGCCATTGAGCCTATACGCAACAATATCGTCTATGTCAGTACGTTCTTCGCATGGAAGTTTTCCAGTCGATATTTCCCAAAATATTACACCGAGGCTAAATATGTCGGATTTCTTTCCAAGGCGATATGACGGGTTCTCTAAAAATAACGGATCTTTGTATGCAGGCGCGCCTTTATCACTCGATTTAGATATTGCTTGTTGCAACACGCTTGATAAGCCAAAGTCGGTTATCTTGGCAACACCTGATTTGGTAAGAATACTACTAGAAGACTAAATTAAACAGACATGCAGTTATACGTTAGTTTTAAATACTATGCGAGTTGGATGACGCAAGCTGGCTAAGTATAAAATTTACGATAAATACCAAATTTTTGTGAACGATATCAAGTTTATGTAAATGTTTTAGTCCATTGGTAATTTCTAAGCCTAGTTTATATTTCTCTTTCCAGGTTAAACCGTTGGAGTGTCTTTCTAGGTATTCACGTAAACTGCCATCAGCCAGTTCGAAAATCATATGATAATTGTCATGCTTGTCTGTATGCGTTAAAACATAAATTGTTACTTATAATTAAGTCAAAAAAATTACCATCGACTGAACATACCTTGACATACACCTAAAAAGCAAATAATGTTGGGGTGGTTATTTGCTTCCTCGTGATTCTTCAGCTAATGTAGGATTCATTTCAAACATTAGTGTATTACAAAGTACAAATGTACGCAAAGTATAACAGAAAGTCTATATAACAACCTCTTCGGCCAACTGCTGGTGCAAACCTTCTTCGTTATCTTCATGTTTAGTCGGAGACAACATCTTTAGCGCAACGGTCATGCCAGAGTAAATGTTCTGCGTTCTATCTGATACAGTAATACTGTCATTACGTTCTATCGTTGCTTTATATACCGCTCCAAATTCACCAAGAGCAATATGCAAAGAATCTAATTTTATGTCACTTTCCGGACAGCAATATATCGATCCTTCTTGAATTCTCGCTTCTAACCATTCTTTATATGAAACATTATATGTTTGAGACATTGTTAACATTGAATGCAGGCGGCATGCTGTTCCGATTAATGGAGTGCTTTAAATGTAGTACGGAATCGTGTAATATTTACAGTGGCCAATACAACTGTGGTCATGCGGCCTCAGATCGGCATTCCAGCAAAAACGCTTTGCTATGAATCACGTGAGACTTCATTAAACTGTGAAACAATTGTATAGTAAACATGTCTCAGGATGACAAATCGTTCATTTATAGGACGAAGCAAAAAAAAAAGGTTGTTTGACCACATATATACTATAGAAGTGCATTGATATTGAATAAGAAGATATGTATTTACTAAGGTGACAAGCCATGATAAAACCTAATATGTCTAGGATATGAACTTAATGCCAAGTATGTAATTATAATCATGTGTATACTAATACTGCTGGTAACCTTGTTAGGGTTTGATCCATCCTACCTGAAGTTGCTGTAATTTTGGTAAGTCAGCCTCAGTGATTACCTTTTATGCTTCTTTTGATATCAAACTCGCCTTTATGTGGATACTTGTCAACTGACTGAACTTAATTGGTCTAACATTTAAATTGTCTTGATAGAAAATACAGTCTTCCAAGACAATTGATTTCAGACAATTCGACCGTGACTCGAACAATTTAAATAGCAAACTCATCTTGATCCCAACATGCTTCACAGTAATTGTCCTTAGTTGGCATTGAGATTTTATGAGTTTTTGTAATCCATCACGTGGTACTCGATCAAAGTAATGTTTTGAGAGCCTGTCACCTATGACTGAAATTGATTTCAAATTACGTGCTGCTTTAGTATTAGAAAGTGCTAAAATATACTATCATCTAGATTTAGAGATAAGCTTAATTTTTGCAAGCAAGGAAGGGCCCATTTCTCATTTGCATAGAAATCCACCTCATATACATACAGAGAACGAAATCAAGAGAAAGAACTGTGAGATTTTGGGCAATATGCAACTGCCAAACGAGTAATCTTGACTTGCATATTTTCTGATTTGAATTTGGTGCACCCACATCGTCAAAGCTTGGATCTCTTCGAAACGGATCTCCTTCAAATAAAGTTATAATCAAGCGGAAACTTTTTGCTATATTTTGGGTATAGTCGTAATAGTAATGCATTCTCCAGAGTATCAACGTCAGTAAAACATTCAATAAATGTAATTATGAGGTTTTCTACTGATTCACTAACCCTTTACCCTCCTGCTTTCTACGTAATAATGTTTCACTCGATTATAGCCTTTCATTGTTTATAACGTTCCGCTGGTGCATCTTTGGAATTGAAAGTAACAAGTTGAAAGGTTTGGCTCACAAGTATTGAAGGCTTATAGCACACCAGTATCTGTTAACTAAAATGCAAGAATGAAACGTAGAAGCACAGTCTGCACATTCGTCCAAAATTACTCCGAGGATTTCACGAGGCAACATTGTTTCAAACGAAGGAAGGACAACGAATAAAATTTGCATTAATATTAAGCGCAATAAAATTTTAGATTTACAGCATCTGTCTGCAAATTGAAAATCATATGACAAAATTTTGCAAACACCCGTTTCCATCACGGTTTTATTAAAAAATGAATGTGAAGAAATAAATTTACCGTTGATGTTGAACAGAGTAAACCAAGCCCAACAAAATACTCTACGTTATTTTACTTGTTACAGATCAGTTGCCATTTGAAATGTATCTTGAAATAAAGTAATTATATGCTCATTTTCAGGGTAAAGTGCTAAATTTGTTAGGTACAGTGCAGCACATTAAGAACGTCGTTGAACGGCTGATTAAGCTTTCTATAGTGTAATTCGAGTAAATCAGAATATTAAATATACCGAACTTAAAGATTATCAACTAAATATCTGCTATTCGAAGATTTTAGTTATTTCTTTTAACCTTATAGGTAGTATTCCATTCCTAACAGAGAATGTTAAATGCGTAGAATATCAGTCGGACAAATTTTGGGTGCTGTCGAATAATCGTTGTAACGATAGTTTTGCTAAAATACTGTTGATCTCGTTACACGCACAGCTTCATATACGTACGCGCGCGGGGTTATTTCAACTTTACAACTTCAGAAATTAGTTCAAACGCACATTTTCCCCCGACGTGTCTATGCAAGGCTCAGCCACGGTACCTGTCTAGAAAAGTTCAAAGAAAGACTATAGAATCCAAGCATTAGACGTTGGGGTAGACGGAACGATAATGCAAATGAGTACCAGCAGCTTGATACGCATAAACTTGTAGTAGATATTATGAATAATTATGTATGAGAAACGCAGATATTATTACTTATTACCATTTCTCTACTGATTACATACAGGATGTGAATGGTCAATACATACTGAAGTTGTATGTCCTACAAAGTCAACTCGCACACACATCTACTGTTGATGTTACATTTTGCAGAGAAATATCCCACTGCCCTTATGCCATGTTGCTACTAATGTTACCAAAGCACACTGTCGTGGAAAAGGAACATCTACTCATCAATGTTATTACAATTTCTCGGATGATGCTATACGTTGATGCAAACGCTATGAATAAAACTCAACTATCGTAATCAATACTGAGATTGCCGTCCTGATAATAACACTTCATATGCCACACATTTTATCTCTCACATTGTATTATCAGCGAAAATGGAAGATTGCGCTCGAGTAGCGATTGGAAAATAGGACGACCAATCATATTAACATTCAATCGAAACGGTCGTCCACAAAATAGGAATTTTCACTCCGTATCAACTCGTTTAAAAATCCAATGCTAGTCCATTGATGGAAAATGGGAATTATGGATGTGAGCGTGTCGATAATAATAATACTGCTCTTCTTCATTTTAACAATGAGATGTAGAACTAATAATCAAACAATAGTATATTCCTTCGCCGATGCAACAATACGAACAAACTCTCATGTTATGTAATACAGTGTAACTGGTACACAAAATGTTACACAACACTTCTGATCTTTTGATCGATTACATAAATTCAATCGGAACACATTACACTCACTAAGACTAATGAAACATGGCTACATTTATCAGCGCAATTGATTTGTCTTCAACTCTTTCGTCTGATTATGAGAAGCTTTACGCAAGTAACAAATATACAGATGTTTCGATTAATGTTGGCAGAGAGCCAAACAACAAAATCTTTCTTGCACATTCGGTCGTATTGTGTACGAGAAGCACATATTTTGAAAAGTTGATAGTTGAAAATACGGAAGAGTTCCAACGGACGGTTATGGCATTTGAATATGTAACGCCCGAAATTTTTGAAATTTTGCTCGGGTAAGATATTTACAGACTGAAAGTTAGATGAGACAACTATTTTTTTGTAGTTACTCGCCCAATTTGTTGTTAACATTTATTGTGCATATTATTATAGATTTATTTACACAGGAAAAGTGGCTTATAATTCAAGTGAAGTTATAGATTGGATCAGTCTTTTGAACGTTTCTTGCCAATTCGAATTAGACGATTTTGTTACTGCAGTTGGAGACTATTTGATCAATTGCCAAAAGGAATGGATAACTGGCAACATTCTTGAACTCTGCAAGTGTGCTTTATCCTCGAGTTTATTAAACAAACTTTTGGATTATTGCAACGACGTTATGATATCATCACCAGAAATTATTTTTAAATCTGACAGTTTAATGAATCTACCAAAGGAGACCTTGATTACACTTCTCAAACATGATGAGCTTAATATGGAAGAAATTGAGATTTGGTTATCAGTAATAGAATGGACTACAAAGCAAGTTTCAGGGCTTGTAAATGAACCAAACGATTGGTCAGTTGAAGACGTTACTAAGGTCAAAGCAATCATATCTGATTGTATTCCTCATATAAGATTCTTCAATATTCCATCTGAAGATTTTCAGAAGAAGATTGTTCCTTATGATGAGGTATTAACAAAGGAGTTACGACGGGACATAATGTTTTATTATTTAAACAAAGACTACCAACCAAAATTTACAGTTTTGCCACAAAGGAAAAGGCGGATTCTTACCAATGACCAAAGTAAAAGGGAACAGCAGAGTTTCAACTCTGTTAAACCCAGTAGTGCTAATTCCTCTTCATTAAGCTTTGCTGATTCTGGAATTGTAAATTCTACTGTAAACCTCTGCTCTTCTTGTCCTAATCTCAAAAGACAGATTGGAAATTTAAAAAGCCAATTACAAAGTTTAGCTGCTGAAAATAATACTCTCAACAGTCGGATTACAGATCTGCAAGATTTAATAGTAATAGATGAACTTGGAACATATACCAGCAATGAGCAAGGATGGGGAAGCAGTAGCTGTCAAGAGCAAGGATGGGGTGACTGTGAAAGAAATAGCAATCAAGAGCAAGGATGGGGAAGCAGTAGCTCTCAAGAGCAAGGATGGGGTGACTGTGAAAGAAATAACAATCTTCAAGAGCAAGGATGGTGGTGAAAGAAATAACAATCAATGATACTACCAACCAAGCCTGCCACTGCCATCACCACAGTGGGGTCAGAGGGTAATGGGTCATAGCAAAGGGTGCTTACTATTACTGCCAGTAAAAGGCTTATTTTTTTGAAAAATTACTGGACAGTGACAAGCTTTAAGCTTATATTTAAAATGATAGTATGATACATTGTTGATACATTTGCATGATGTGTAAACATATAAGAATTATATAAACTAAATTTGCAAAAAAAACTGTTTGAGATGTTTGTGTATGGGCTGGTTATTATTATGCTAATAAAGTTGTGGTAGTAGATATGCACTTGGTTATTTACCAAGGGCTGGAGACATGATTACAATTTACACATATTAAGGACACTAGAATTACATATTAATATATAATAGGTGAGAAAATGTTTAAGATATACAACAATATGGATGACACTTGGCTGGTCTGTTATCATAAAAATCATGAAATATTATGTACTAAAATTTGAAAAACTAAGGAAAATGGTTATTAATCTTATTTCTTTTATGCAAACATATGTTTCTTTGTTTCTTGTTATAAATTTATGTCACGTGTTTATATTTTATGTCAATAAAGCAAACGTTTTACTTAAAACAATGATTGCTACATAGTAATAAGCAATAGTGTAATTATTGCTATAATAACAATGATTTCGGGCATAACTCGTGATCTCCTATAAGCTGTTCATTCTTACCTTTACGGGCTACTGATTTTGCAGATGCCATACAATTTCGCTATTATTATTTCATCAAAAATGGTAAACATAGTTCAATCCATTAGCACACGTCACGCCCTGGACAACACTTTTTTTATGAAACTTACAATATACACGATTTTGCCTTATCCGTAATGTTAGCTGTCACACATACAGACGATATTAATATCGAACCACCTGTGATACCACCATGGCACACCTTGTGTTTACTGCGAAAAACTCTTATACTCTAACAAATACCCTATGATAACCGTTCTGTTTATTCCATCGAAAAACATTACCCCCCACATATCGAACTTATAATGAGAAGTAAAATTCACAACTTTTAATATCAGTTTGCAGCAAATGCAAATTAAAACCAAATAATTACTCATTTAACACTACATCCTATATCTCAAGAAATTGTGGCTAATGCATCGTCGTTTCCTTTCGCCAGTATTTTTACATTGTTTCCTTGGTCGAACTACAAGCGAAAATTTTTTCAGAATACCACATATTATCTGGTGACATGAAATTTTCAAAAAAATATGCCAGCGTTGACACTTTATTCAGAATCTATCGGTGCATTTTTATCTTCACAAAACAAGTCAGAAATTTCCTGGTGTACAAACGAACTCCCAGGTTGCAGTACAGTAGCTAAAAACGCACAAAATATACCTTCGAATTTAACACATCCGTCCGTTCCCCCTACCGCTACGTATAGCAATATACACAGCCAAACTTATATATCAACAAAACCGTATTATTATTCAAAGTTCAAATTTTCTCTCAGAAATACACAACGAAGATTTCCATTACACGCATCTCATGGCCGGATTATTAACATCTAACTCTACGACGTTATCATTATCATTTAACGACCATGAACTCGAACCACTTCTGTTCCTGATCTTTTTATTTCTACGAACATATGAAAAATAAGTCTACTGATGATGAACATAATAAGTTACTACACATTGACCCGAGATTTCGATTACATCCGTACCGGCCACTGCTCATATTTGCAGTGAGAAAAAGAACGAAAACCATCAAAATACACAACGCATATGGCACAAAAAACAGTCGAATGCTATATGCAAACCCCCCAAAAACGGCTGAGTTAATTACTTGAAGTTAATATCGGGGAATTGTATAATCGACAAAACAAAACAACCACTTTACCCTCTTTTATATTTGCGCAAACTGACGGTTTTTATTTTTATGCAAAATTGTTGCATGTAAAATAGCATGACCAAAGAATTTGATTGCCATCATTATTCATTACATTAACAATGGCCGAAGGTAAATGGACAACGTATTGTAATTGTAGAACAAACACAACTAATTAACTATTTTGATTAATTACTATTATAAATTTAATATTAACGACGCGACGTTAATACTACACCGTAAAGCAATAATAAATAAATACTGTGTCAAACGTAATATGATTATCACTATTGTCATAATAACAACAAAGCATTTAAACTTTGATTGCTTGCATGAAATTGAACAACTCTAGTTTGTACCAAGCTACCCATTTACAGTAGCCTGTAATAAAATAATATTTATTAGCATAAAGTTTTATTATTTCTATACATTGTGCAAAGAATTTTTGATTTTGAATATTATTACTAAGCTAAAACGTTTAATTCTATTGCTTTTGCCTTAAGTGATTCTTCCTGACTATTACTGTTACTATATATTAATAAGAATAGCTACAGTCATACCTCAGTTATGTCCCCTTCAGTTATATCCTATATTAATATTCCAGCTTTGGCGCGGGACGAATTTCTCTATTCTAATTCCATATAAATATACCTCAGTTATATCCCACTCAGATATATCCCTATCCCCAACTTTCACAATCCCAATTTCCCCTAAATTACACAAGAAATCATGCCATTTCTATATCTGTGTGGGACAGCTGATCATTTACTCCATGTGGTTTAGTGGTTAGGCGATGCAATAAAATCGGGCCATAAAATAAATCAGGCAGGCAATGGACTAAATCAGGCCATAAAATCAGGCAATAAAATAAATCAGGTCATGAATTAGGGATGACAAATAAATCAGGCGATAATAAATTAGGTGATTTAATAAATTAGCTATTACACTATACATCATGTTAGAAATATCCGCAATATAATTAATCTCTAATCTGATTATAATCCAGGTTCAAAGAAGTCAGAGATGAATTTGATTCTAGAGCTTTTCCTAATACTGTTACTCCTGCATCTCCAATTTCATTACATTCAAGGTTCAAAAAAGTCAAAAAGGGGTTTAATTCTAGAGCCTTTGCAAATGCTGTTCCACCCACATGTCCAACCTGATTATGACTAAGATTCAAAGAAGTCAGAGAGGAATTTGATTGTAAAGCCTTTGCCAAAGCTGTTGCTCCTGTATCTCCAATTTGATTGAACTGAAGATCTAAAGAAGTCAGAGTGGAAT